CCGCTACCCGGGCGGGATGTGCGCCCCGCTGGCCCTGCCGCCGGCCACCGACGCCCGCTACACCACCCCCTTCGGCGCGGGGGACGGGGACCTGCCGGCCTTCCCGCCCGGCACCCGGGCCGAGGTGCCCAGCCTCGACGCCACCCTGGAGTGCCGGGCGCGCACCAATGGCTCGTGGGGATGGAGCGCCGCCGCGCCGGGCGCCTGGCGCTGCCAGCTGGAGGGCGGCGGCTGCGAGTGGCAGTGCCAGGAGGACGGGCAGGGGCGCCCCTTCTGCACCTGCCCCGAGGGCACCGCCGTCGGGCCGGACGGGCGCGGCTGCGTCTCCCCGTGCGCCGAGCTGCGGTGCGAGCACCTGTGCCAGCCCCAGGGGGACCGCGGCCTCTGCCTGTGCGAGGAGGGCTACCGGCTGGACGCCGACGGCCGCAGCTGCGCCGACATCGACGACTGCCGGGCCCAGCCGGGCCTCTGCAGCCAGGAGTGCGTCAACACCGCGGGGGGCTTCCGCTGCCAGTGCTTCCCCGGCTACACCCTGGTGGAGGGCAACTGCATCAAGACGGAGAACCTCTGCTTCCGCGCCACCTGCCAGCAGGACTGCGTGGTGGTCAACGGCACCTGGCGCTGCGTCTGCTTCGACGGCTTCGCCCCGGACCCCAAGGACCCGCACCGCTGCGTCAGGCTCTGCAACCGCCCCGAGTGCCCGGCCCACTGTGACCCCCACACGGGAGACACCTGCTACTGCCCCGACGGCTACATCCTGCAGGAGTTCGACGACGGGCGGAAGGTCTGCACGGACATCGACGAGTGCGAACAGGACTACTGCGACGGGGAGTGCCGCAATCTCTTCGGCGGCTATGAGTGCGCCACCCCGAGCCCTGGCCTTGTGGACAGCGCCCCGCGGGGACCGGAGGATGAGGGCTCGGGGGATCCGATGCTGTACTCCACCACCGCGACGCCCGTGCTCACGTCTGTGCCCCCGAGGGGCGGCCGCAGCCCGGGGACCCTGGTGGCCATCATCGTGAGCACGGTGCTCGCCTTCGTGGCGTTCGTGGCCGCGGTGGGCTGCTTGCTGAAGAGGCTGCGCTCTGCAAAGGCCGGGATGGATTACAAGTGCCAGCAGGTGGAGGCTGGAGTGGGGATGGAGCAGGTGAGGCCCCAGGGCGCCTCTCACAAGCAGAAGATGTAGGGGGAGGGGAGGGTGGAGGGTGGCAGACTTCAATGTTCCCTCTAAGCTGTGGAGTCTTGTGAGCAACAGTTCTACTTTGTGACCGACTGGCAGTGAAGTTGTGAGCCCGCGACTCGGCGGCTGCCTAAATCAGTTTGCTCTGGAGCCCTCCTTCCTGAGCTGAGACAGAAATGTGTGAGCCGGAGGCTAAAAAACTCTGAGCTAGCTCACACGAACTCAGCTTAGAGGGAACGCTGGTGGCAGTCCTCGGTCCAAAGCAGGGTGAAGGCGGATGCCAGTTCCAGAAGAGACCCCTGACTGATGAACTGGTGTGATTTATTCGTTTTTTCCCCATGGTTGCCTGAAGGAACTGGGTGTGTGTGCAGGGGTGGGGGGTGGGGGTGGGGATTCTTGACTTGGGAAGACACTGTGAATTCTGATGCCCTGAAAGCAGCCGCGATGGGGTTTGGCTGATGACGACGCAGGACACATGGTGGAACCAAGCCTTTGGCATTCTGGGACTTTTCTCCAGACGAAGGGTTAAGGATTTGCTCTTCCTTCTGCCAGACATGTTGAGGACAGTGTGTTTGGGACAGCTGGTGGACTGGAAGAAACCGAATATCCTTTGGATTTATCCAGACACCCTTTTTTTAAAAAAAAAGACATTTTTGAGTTGCCAAAGATGACACAATGTTTGCATTCTGTAGTTCTCTTCTTGGGTTTTGTGTGTATGTGTGTGTTGTTGCTGCTTACAATCCAGTCTATTATCCCTGCTATATTCTTGGGGGTGGGGTGGGGGGTTGCATCTGTGTTAGTAAACAGTTGCTTGCTAAAGATCGCACCAAACAGACATGCAAGGGCATAGCCCTGCGACAAATTCTCCTGTTTTAGAAGAACTGAAAAGAGAGAGGTGCTGTTCTACCCCCCCCCCCAAAGAACTTTCCTCTGGGTCTGTAAGGTACCAAGGTACTTTTGTGTCCTTGGTGATGAAGACAGCTCACTTGCTTTCCTGTGCAGTCAGTGTTTTCTTCCTTTTTATCGTCCCTGTGGATCTCCGCTTTGCCATTTCATGCCCTTCTTTTGCCACAGGTCTGCCATAACATTGACGTCCTGTGTGCCCGTGGGCATCTTGGCACTTTGGACGAGCCGGGTTAAATGCCCGAGGGCTGTGCTGCCCCTTTCTGCAAAGCACTGTCATTTTACATTGCAGAAGAAACTCTCTGTGGAAAGAAAGCACGTGTAACTTGTAGGATCACTTGGCTGGGAGGACTCCGGCTGCTGAAAGGGGGCAGGGGGTTTGGTTACACCAGAAGCAAAGATCCCTAATTCTCCCCCTTTTTTTGCCTTTTAGTTTTATGTTGGGGAATTCTGGAGAACAGCTTTTAAGCACTGTCAGTTTTTAAGGTTTCTGAATGTTTTTTTTAAAAAATGGGGCCTCAAAACAATGTGAGGGCAACAGTGTTAAATTTGTGTAAATCCAACAGCGCCGTTGAGCTAAATCTAAACGTTTAATGGAGGCGCAGGTGATTTATTTCTCAAGAAGAGGGACCGGAGCGTGGTTTTAGCCCTCTCGTTGAACAGCTAGGTTGGAGTCCAACAGCACTGTAGAGACTGCTGGGAGACAAGCTTTCAAGAGTCGATGCTCCCTTCGTCAGATATGAGTCGGAATGAAGATCTCCGGGTCTTTCTGTCCCAGTCAGAGAAGGGACGCGGGATACAGAGGTCCCACGCGCACCGTATCCTGCTTGATTAGAGATGAGGACAGATGCTCATTTTCTGCTCCCACGCATGTCCTCTGTGCTCTAATCAAGCTGGCTGCCATGCGCACTGGACCGCTGCATCCTGCTGCACCCCCAGAAAGCTTGTTGGCGTCTTAGTTGCTGCTGGACTTGAATTGAGCTGCTGCGGTCCAGCCTGGCTGGCCTGAAGCTCCCCTGTTGAGCTCTTAAGTCGTATGATTTCAGGAGGAGAAATGGAACCTTGGGGGGGGGCTTGGGGAGGGGGGTCAACAGTGGGAGGGCTTCTAGTGTCCTGGCCCGACTGGTGGACCTCCTGATGGCACCTGGTATTTCTGGCCACTGTATGATACAGAGTGTTGGACTGGATGGGCCTTTGGCCTGATCCAACATTGGCATCTCTTATGTTCTTATGTGGGGGAACTAGGTAAACATGTGGAGCAGAGGTCCATCAGTGGCTATTAGCCACAAGGTATAGATACGGGCTCTGGGGCAAGGGATGCTCTGTATTCTTGGTGCTTGGGGGGGGGGTCAACAGTGGGAGGGCTTCTAGTGTCCTGGCCCCACTGGTGGACCTCCTGATGGCACCTGGGATTTCTGGCCACTGTGTGATACAGAGTGTTGGACTGGATGGGCCTTTGGCCTAATCCAACATTGGCATCTCGTATGTTCTTAACCTGAGCTGTGACAGGGTTATACCACTAAGAAGTTATCACAACTGAGCTACAAAGCAGGCTGCCTCTCTCTGGAGGACAGTGGGGTGTGTGTTTATGTGTATGATTTATGACCCCAGTACAACACCACTTTCTTAGAAATGAGCAAACGGGCGTGACCGGGAAATGTTGCTGAACACAATTGTAGCTCTCGATTAAACATTTTGTGATGGTGTGAAGTTCTGATTATTTTTAACAAGGGGGTTGTTGTTGTTGTTCAGTCGCACAGTCGAGTCCGACTCTTCGCGACCCCATGGACCAGATCCCACCAGGCCTTCCTGTCTTCTGCCGTCCTCTGAAGTTTGCTCAATTTCATGTCCGTTGCATCGATGACACTGTCCAACCAGCTCATCCTTTGCCGTCCCGTCTTCTTTGACCTTCAGTCTTTCCCAGCATCAGGGTCTTCTCCAGTGAGTGCTCCCTTCTCATTGGGTGGCCAAAGTATTTGAGCTTCCGTTTCACTATCTGGCCTTCCAGGGAACAGTCAGGGTTGATTTCTTTTAGGACTGACTGACAAAGGGGTAGCGGGAGGGATGTTCATGAGCATTATCTGGCCTTCCAGGGAACAGTCAGGGTTGATTTCTTTTAGGATTGACTGACAAGGGGGTAGCGGGAGGGATGTTCACGAGCAGCTGTTTTGTTGCGTGTGTAGATATTTATTTATGGGATCGTAGTAGCCAGTGTGGGTGCAAGCACTTGCCATCCCAATGTTCTGCTATTTGTATTCTTTGCACTTGCAGCCCAGCACCTGAAATGATCGTAACATCAAGGAGTACCTTTTAAAGCTTGCACGATACGCTACAGAAAAACATGTTTTGTCCTTCAAAGCAGTGTTCTCTCTAAACTGAGTTAGTGTGAGCTAGCTCGCAGTTCTTTAGCCTCCGGCTCACGCATTTTTGTCTTAGCTCAGGAAGGATGGCTGAAGAGCAAACGAATGTATGCAGCAGCCAAATCTCTTGCTCACAACTTTAATGCCAGTAGCTCACAAAGTAGAATTTTTGCTCACAAGACTCCACAGCTTAAGAGGGAGCATTGCTTCAAAGGCCAAGTTCTGTGTGCCAAATGACATTATGTTTCCTTGGCTGATTCAGGGAATGTCTGTCTCCGCCACAAATCTTGAACTAATCTTGTTGACGACTTTGGGGACTGTTGCGGGTATTGTGCTTAGACTTACCGAATTGTGCAAGAACAGCTGTGTACTTGAGGTGGCTGGCTATGTCAGAACTCTGCCATTCATGCCTGGTCATTCAGTTCACCACAAAACCAAGCAGACAGGCCCAATCTGTCCTGGAGAATCTGCCTGTTCAGAGGTGTGTTCGATGGCAGAAATATCTAATGAGGAATGGATTATGACTGTGGTCACACACACTAAATGACTGTGGTCACACACACTTCCAGTCCACATTCAGTGCACTTTCCAACTGTGTGAACTAGCAAAATCCAATTTGAAAGTGCTTTGAAAGTGGATTATTTAGCATGTGTTACCGCAGCCTATGAGGGGTGGGTTTTTTTTTTTTTGCTTATGTGGTATGGCTCTCTTCCGTTTCCAGCCTTTTAGGCAGATAACCCAAAGCATATCTTAAGGGTTTTTGCTGAATTTAGTGAGTGTCAAAGGCAAGAATACTGCTGTAATGTATCCAGTCCAGACTGCGTGGCCGGCTCAGGCTTCACGCGGTCAGAGACAAACGTCGAGATTTGCTCCAAGAGACAATGGACTATGCGGATCCTAGCCACTATTAACTCTAAGCTGAGTTAGTGTGAGCTAGCTCACAGTTTTTTAGCCTCTAGTTCACACATTTTTGTCTTAGCTCAGGAAACATGGCTCCCGAGCAAGCTAATTTATGCAGCAGGCAAATCGCTCGCTCACCACTTTAATGCCAGTAGCTCACAAAGTAGAATTTTTGCTCACAAGACTCCACAGCTTAGAGGGAACATTGATCCTAGCCCGCTCCAATCAGGGGGCTAGGTTCCCGGTCAAGAGCCTATGGGACTCTCAGCCACTGTAAATAACCTATTGGGAAGTAGGAGTGTGTTTGGGGTGGCGGTTTCTCAGGGGATATAAGCCGGCCTGTGAGCCGGCCAAAGTCATCTTGTTCCTGATTGACTAAAGTATGCTTTGCTGAAATCACTCTCCGTCTGCGTACTTTTCAACTGCAGGGGTCTCTTCTTCACTGTTTTGGTAAAAATATCTTAGGCGTTCCCAGGGAAGGAATGGAAGATTAGAACAGTCTTGGAAACCTTCGTCACTTCTGGGACCTGTTGCACGAGATTCTCCAAAGCGGGAGCTGCAAGGCAAGGAGGAGTGGGAGCCCCTCTCCCCCCCCCAAGTGGCTGCTGCCCCCACATCAAGGGACAGGGTGGTCCAGCCGCAGGTGCCGGAGGGTCTGCCGCCCCCTCAACTCTTTGGGCCACCCTTCTGGTTGCTGCTGCCTCCTAAGAAAGGTGGTGCTTCAGGCAGGTCAACAGTGGCTCCTTCTCACAGAGAGGCCAAAGGTGGTGGCCAGTGTCCCCTCTAAGCTGAGCTAGTGTGAGCCAGCTCACAGTTTTTTAGCCTCCGGCTCACACATTTCTGTCTTAGCCCAGGAAGGAGGGCTCCAGCGCAAACTGATTGATGCAGCAGCCCAGTCGCTCGCTCACAACTTTAATACCAGCAGCTCACCAAGTGGAATTTTTGCTCACAAGACTCCACAGCGTAGAAGGAGCATTGGTGGCGGCAGGTGGTACCTGCCGCACTCACACCTGTGCCGCCTTCCTGGTG